AAAACAGAATAGTTAAAATACAGAAATATAAAACTAAATGAAATTTGTACTCCATTATTACTGAAAAAGTACTAAAATAAGTTCTGAACAACTGAAAATTAACTACTATACTTGCAGAAATTAAAGTTCCTAAATGCTAAAAATTACATAATCTGAAAATTAAAAGAAAAATAGTGAAAACTAAATTCCTAAACTACTCTTTTGCATCCTCTTCATCTGAACTCTCCTCTTCCTCTTCATCTTCTTCTTCACTCTCATTATTTTCTTCCATTTCAGCTCTTGGGGAAGTATTGAAGCATGTGTTGAAGAGAGGTAGATTGTTGAATGTGGTGGCTCTAAGGCATTGGACATTTTCTACTTCTGACTCATAAAGTTGCTTTTTTGTCATGCCCATCTTTTTACCAATGTTCAGTATTATATTTTCCATCAAAAGAATTCCAGCCTTATTGCTCATGTAAGGCATTCTGCCTCTCAGTCAAGGAATCTTGTCTGTCCAAAATTTTCTGTAACTAAGCCTTTAGTTTGAGAAGAGAATCCTTCTTAAACTTTGTAGGAATTGGTGAGGTAGCAGTGGCTGGTGTGGTGGCATATAGTTTCTTTATCATAGTTGCTGTAATAGGAGGATTGACCTTACTCTTCTCATAATATTTCCCAAAATTTACTCCAGCATCTTCACAAAGTAGTGTAATCAGCCCTGGAAATCCCAATGAGTCTCTTTTTAATTTCAGAATTGTTTTCATACAGTTGTTGATCACTTCTCCCACATTGATGTAGAAATCACTCACTATGGCAAAAATGAGTTCAGCTCTCTTGACAGCAATGGTGGAGCTACGGATCACTGGCATAAATAAGTTGAGTATGAAAATACTTCATACTTTTGCAAAGGGCAGCAGATTTCTGGTCAGAATATTCTTTGAAGTAGAGATGTTTTTAGCTTAATCTCTTGCAGTCAACTCCCATGTAGTTCCAGGTCTGCCAATTTTATGGAGGATTTCAGTGTAATCCTTATCCATAATTCTCCCAAAATTTGAGAAATTTTGTTGTCCTTCTTCTTTTTCCACAGTGATCTTCAGGACTTTGTTAATATTTTCAGCAGAAAAGTCCACTATAGTACCTCTAACAACATGTGATTTGGAGGTAGATGGTCTCCCTTGGTCCTTAAGGCATTAGCATAGAATTCTTGTGTAATATCCTTGGACCATTTTCCAGCTAAGGTAGTAAAAATCTCCCATTCTCTTTTCTGAATCTGTTTACAAAATTCAGAGTGCTCTCCTTTAGCTAGATCAAAATTCCTATCTTGAACTATTTTCCTCCCCAAGATATTGGCCTTAAAGTAGTTCTCATGTCTTTTGCTCCTGAATTTAGGATCATGATTAGGTATAGTCCTTGAAGAAGGACTAGCTGAGAATCTTCTCCTCTTAGATCTTGGAGTTCCTCTAGGTGTGCTTGCCATGTCTTTTGCTGAAATCACAAATTAATATAAAAGATATGAATTTCATAACTTGATAAAATTGTAACAAGTATTACAACAATCTTAGCAATTTTTCTAATTTGAAACACAGAGAATATTGTGTCCAGGGGCTACATACAATTTAAACAATTCATCAACAATTGCAAATCATTAACAATTCATTATAATTGCATCAATGTATAGGTGCAAAATGTATGTTCATGCTCAGCTCAACCCCTATTTTTCATGTGCAACATGTGCAGAAGCAATATTTATTGATAAAAATGTGGAATTCAGAATCAATCAATGTAGTGCATTAGATGAAAAATTTTAGAACAATCAGCTCAAAGATTTTCACTGCTAAAAATCATAATTAGTACTTATGAAATTCATTCTGAAACCCTTTTCTGCATAATTGATTAATCAAAAATTATTTTAGAATATTTCCAGCAATTTCAAATATTAAAATGCAAAAATTTCACAAGAATTTGCTTCAGAAATCATGTCTCATAGTTAAGCACAAGTGTAGCAACATGTTCATACTAAAATCCTTCATGCAGCATTAATCTTCAATTAAAAATTACAAATTGAGCATGGAATCAACCTTATTAACCTTCAATTTTATATTCGAATCAATAATTTCACACAAATTTCCCCCAATTTCAAATTCCCAAATTTCCCCAATTCACGCTCTGAAGAACCTAATCAGAAATTTTAAAATTAGAGGAAAAATTACCTAGAATTGAAGTGCATAAATGATGTAATCCTACTCGCAGATGATGAAGAAATAGATAATCAACAAGAACACAATTAAAACTGAGTAGGAAAATCAAATTTTTAGAGCTGGGTTTCAAGGTTAGGGTTTGGATGCCTCTGCGTCATCACTTTGAAAGGTTTATATGCTTGCGCAGAATGAGTAGACACTTTAAATAGGGAAAGTAGCCACGCTGGGAATTTTGTAATGAATCAAAGGTGAGCATGTTCACCCTAAGCATTCAGAGTGTCTACTCAAATGGAAATGTGCAAATCACGTGACCACTTTAAGTTTTTGAAATGAACACTTAAAACTACTGACCTGTGCGCGTAGCCACTTCAAATGGGTAGAGTAGCAGTGCACAGATGCGCTCAGATGCGCGTAACTACTTTAAATGGGTAGAGTAACAATGCCCTTGCTTCAATCAGATGCGCGTAGCTACTTCAAATGGGTAGAGTAGCTGCGCAAACATGCGCGTAGCTACTTTAAATGCCTGAAGTAGCCACGCAGGAGCCACTTTTTCAACTTTTGCTATATAGCCTTGCGCATGGACACTCTTAGTGATTAGAGTGTCGGCGCAAATTTGCGCGTGTCCACTTCAAGTGGGTAGAGTAGCTACGCGCTTGCTTCACTACAAACATCAGAATCAATGGACTTCTGCATAGACACTTTATGCATTTGAAGTGTCTACTTGAATGATCAACTTCAGGAATGAACTTCTAGCCTCAACTTTTCTTTCTCAAAGTTTTACATACTTGATGAGCATCATTCAAACTACAATTCCACACATTGTTTTTACTTGAATCAAAATCTGCAAACACAATTAACAATGTGATTCATTATTAATATGAAAATCATACTCCACTATTACTTTCAACTAAAAATTCAGAAAATGCAGATTTTTTTTTTTAAATTCAAAAATAACTAAAAGTAAAAATTCCTAAACTAGATTCTAGCAAGAGTAAAGGGTTAGAAATGTGAGTTGCCTCTCATAAGCGCTCTTTTAACGTCACTAGCTTGACGCCTTATGTTTCTCATTCAAGAGAAATCAACTTAACATAAAAGATGTTCTTTGTGAATGCCTCTTCATGATAAACTTTCAACTTTTGGCCATTGACCTTGAATTCTCTCCCTATCTTCTAATCCTCAATTAAAATTTCTCCAAAGAGAGATACTTCTTTGATTAGAAAAGGTCCAGACCACCTTGATCTAAGTTTCCCTGGAAATAATTTTAGTTTTGAATTAAAAAATAAAACTTGTTGTCTAGGTCTGAGCTCTCTTTTTAGAATGAAATTATCATGGATCCTCTTGGTTCTTTCTTTGTACAGTTTGACATTTTTGTAGGCCTGTTGCCTAAATTCTTCCAGCTCATATAGCTGTAAAATTATCTTTTCTCTTGCACTAGCCAAGTCAAAATTCAGCCATTTAGTGGCCTAATATGTTTTATGTTCAAGCTCCAAAGGTAAATGACATGTCTTTCTAAAGACTAATTGGTAAGGTGGCATACCAATTGGAGTCTTAAAGGCAGTTCTATATGCCCACAAAGAGTCATTTAACTTCTTTGACCAATCCTTTCTTGAATTATTCACCACTTTTTCCAAAATTTGTTTAATTTTTCTATTTGACACTTCAACCTGTCCACTTCTTTGTGGATGATATGGAGTAAAAACCTTGTGTTTTACATTATACTTTACTAAAATTGATTCAAGATGCTTGTTGCAGAAATGAGCACCTCCATTACTTATTAAAAATCTAGGCACTCCAAATCTAGCAAAGATATTCCTTTTTATAAAAGAAATTACCACATTGGCTTCATTTGTCCTTATTGGAATGACTTCCACCCACTTAGAAACATAATCAACTGCCATAGGAATATATTCATGAGAGAAAGATGTGGGAAAAGGTCCCACGAAATCAATCCCCCACACATCAAATAACTCCACTTCCAAAATATTTGTCAAAGACAACTCATGTATTTCTCCTTTTGGATTGGGCATTCTTTGAGGGTAAGGAAGTCTCTTGTATTTCTCCACATCAATAGGCTGATTAGCTTCCTCAAGTATTTGCCTCTTTGTCTTCCTTACAGCCCTTGGAGAACTCTCTTTTCTGAATTTTCTCTTTTCAGCAAGGTAAAATTTCCTTCATCCAGATCAGTTTTTAATTTCTCCTCTATAGCAGAATTATTTCCTCTTTTTTCGGCAGGTTTGGGACTCCCCACAACAGCTCCACTGCTAGTCATTACAGCTTGACATTGTTCTTTTGGATTAACAACTGTATTGCTAGGATACTGAGTATTCCAATTAGAGTACTGCTGATTTCTGCTATTAGGATACTGAAAACCAGGTGGGAATGAAGGTTGTTGTCTTTGAAAATTTCCCATATAATTAATTTGTTCTTGAGGTTCATTTGTTGGTGCATCACATGCATCATTGACATGATTTCCTCCACAAAAATCACAAGTCAAATGTTCTGGATTGGAGTAGCCTATCAGTTGCTTATAATAGAATGAGTCCAGCAATTTGTTGAGTTAGTGCAGCAATTTGTTCTGAAAACATTTGACTTTGCAACTGGTTTTGTGCAAGAAAAGTCTCAGGAATTTTAGCTTCATATCCTCCACTCCTTGTAGAGTATCTAGAATTAGAATTTTGATACATAGATGAAGCCATCATCTCTATAATCCATTGAGCTTATTCCAATGATTTAGTATTCAATGATCCTCCCGTAGCTGCATCAATCATGGTTCTAGTGGCTAGACTCATTCTATTATAGAAAGTTTCCAACTGCATCCATTCCAGTATGCAATAGTGCGGATATTTCCTCAATAATTCTTTATACCTCTCCTAAGCTTCATATAAAGATTCCCCTTCTTGCACAAATGATGTAGTTTCTCTTCTTAGTTTGGCAGCTTTAGATGGTGGAAAATACTTGGTAAGAAATTTATTGACAAGGTCTCCCCAAGTGGTGATGCTTCCTTGTGGTTGAGCTTGCAGCCAACATTTAGCTTTATCTCTTAATGAAAATGGAAATAATCTCAATCTAATTGCATCCTCGCTAACTCCATTCATCCTTATTATGTCACAAAGCTGCAAAAAGTTAGAAATATATAAGTTAGGATCATCCGAAATTGAACCAGAAAATTGATCTTGCTGAAGTAAATGAAGTAAAGCTGGTTTTATTTCAAAATGGTTGGCTTGTGTAGTAGGTCTGACTATAGAGGAGTTGTATCCATGCATGTTAGGCACTGCATAATCCCCTAAAGTTCTCATCATGTTTTATTCAGCCATTATCTTGAGGTGTTGGTGGTGTAGGAGAAGGAATTTGAAGTTCTTCCTATAACATCTTATATTTCTTTCCTCAATATATCATAAATTTTCATAAAAATTAATATGGTAAAGTAAATTTTCCTTCAAAAACTTTCTAATAAGAAAAAGAGACATTGAAATGGTATAAGGTTCATAGAGTAAAATTTCATTAATTCATAAGTACTTTAGAAAAACAAAGATTCTAAAGTTTTCATCAGCAACAAAGAGAAATAGTAGTTTTACAACTGTTTCAAAAGAATACTATAGAACTGAAATTATCCATTACATAACTCAAAATAACTAAGTCCTATAGCAGTTCTCATCCATCCATGCACTGTGAGCCTGGTACTATTCATCCTGGTTTCTTGAAAAATGTTGTGTAAGGGTGAGTCTCTACCCTACGTCTCATACATCACACATATTCATCACAAAACACATCTTATCACAATTAAAGAAACATCATGGCATTACATATCATAGTGCATATAAGGCATGTTCTCATCTCAACACGTATCGTATTCCACAGATTCATATTTTCTTTTTCTTTCTTTTATCTGCGCTTACCGCACCCTGTGGCCACAGTTATCTGATGCCTCTATCCTAAGGTCTTACACATCCATGTAAATAGTCACCGGATGGCCCAATGCAATACGGATACAACGCATGCAATAGATGACCCTTAGCAAAGGTAATGGTCAGGAGTCAAGTCAAGAAACGAGTGTGTGGCCATATGGTGCATTCGAACACAATTTTCCATGTACAATCCCAAATGTCACTCACCACCCTACATTTCCCCAAGATATACCATATCGTCTCCATCTTCCACTCCCCCAGTGTATCTCTATAACTATTTACATCATATCCTTTTTCATCTTATACTCTTTCGAGTATATTCACATGTTCACATATGCCATTTCTCATGTTCACACATATTTTTCGTCATATTTCCACATACTTTTCATCATATACATCAAACCATAGCATATTCATATTTACACATCATTTTTACATGAAACACAATATATTCAAACATGAAACATCCATCTCTTTGTATATTCCATATCATAAAATCATATCAACCATCCTTAATATACCTTATCATGCGCTATTTGAACACAATATCACATTTTCACCATGTATTCATCATAAAATCACATAAACAGCCAATTATTCTCACTTTTCACCGATTATTTCTCATAAAAAAAGGATTATTCCACATATAATCACATACATGACAAGATGAGAATACAAGTAATAAACATAACAAAATGATAAAGTAGAGCCCCTTTACCTTAAAACAGAGCTTTTATAAAGATTTAACCGAATATTTGAACTCTAGAACGGAGTTTTTCCTAAGAACATCATGAACATCTATAAGAAGAAGAAGAAGAAGAGAAATGAACGGTAAATCTAACTTCAAACTTAGAGAAACTTACTTGAAATCCTTTAGAACGGATGTAGAATCACAGATCTGAAGAAAAATCTAACCTTAGGAGGTTTAGTATGGGAGAAAATGGTGAGATATATAGCCTTAGAACCTTTGAGAACCTTGGATAGGAGTGAAGAAATGAAAATTTTGTGTGAAACCCCCTTTTTATAGAAAATTTTTGAATTTTACTGTTCACTGCTGGAAACACTGTTCACGCCAGAAACACTGTTCACGGTCACTATTCACGCCGAAAACACTGTGCACACGTACTGTACACAGATTGTACGCGGATGTGACGTCAGCCATGACGTTATGCTGATGTCATTGATGACATCATCGTCACTGTACATAGGCGGTTTCACTGTTCATACGCGGTTTACTGTTCATAGGCAGTTTTACTGTTCACTTTTTTTTTTAAAATAATATAAATTCTATCCAAATCTAATTCCAATTTATACTTTAACAAACCTCATTTTATTTAAATCAAAGTATGGGATGTTACACTTCTGATTTAAAAGTAGAAGGTGTAGATTCCAATTCTTACTCTTTCCTTGCTGAATTTTCTGCTCTTAATTCATTTCTCAGCCTCCTTAATATTTTGTCTATGTTTGGATCAAACACAATAGCAGTCTTGATTTTATTTTTCCCACGCATATAACACTAAGAAAAGTTGAACACAGCAGAAGCACTAAAAGAATGATGAGAATACAGAACAATATAGTGCAAAAAATTTATTTGCAGAATATCTTATGAAGAATTAAGAAAGAAACATAACATCTAAACATGTAACTACACAAAATACAGTGGCATAGAAATTATATAAAACTAGATAACAAAGGTGTACAGGAAAACTAGCAGAAAATCTAATACGAAATTCAATTAATAAAAATAAAATTTTCAAAAAGAAAATGGAGAACAAACAGCTCAATCTAGTTGTCTCCTTGCTACTAATGATATTAAAAATAAAGATCCCCGGCAACGGTGCCAAAAACTTGTTACGTAAAACATGAAAGGAATACTAACTAGCAAGTGCACTAGGTAGTTATAGCAAGTAATAAATTTTGAAAATCAATATGAGCCCCAAGTATCATCCACAAGGATATGATTTCCAATTACCACTTCACAATTTAACAATTAGTTGAGCAAAACAATTCATTTGAAAGGTTTGTAACATGTAAAAGTAAGAAATAAGAACAATAAAAGGTAATAAACTTGCTGTAAAAACAAAGTATGAATTTTGTATTAAGAATGCTATATGGAAAATAGTTAGGAATCACTTCACCATATTTTCAATTGCAATGTAATCATATTCTGAACTCTTGAGAATTTTAATTGATTGATAATCAATTTCACTTCTTTAACCAAAGGACAATTCCTTGCCTCATTGATCCTAATACCTAATTAAACCTCCTTAACCCCTTAGGTGAAATTTAATCAAATACTACATTAAGTTCTGGAAATTATAGGATTACTAGATCATGATATTTATTCCTAAGATGTTAATAACCTAGGCATATGATTCAGATCTGAGAGATAAACTCAATTTCCATTGATGAAAATTTCTCTAAATTCAATTGAATGAAGGATTAGTTCACAACTGCATTAAGCACAAAATCATATACTTAATTCAATTAAAATCTCAAGATATAATCCATAATTACGCACAACATCAAATTTGGATTCATAAATCCCTAACAAAAAGGTTTAGAACAACATTACAATGGAAGAAGGAGAAGTAAGAGAAGAAGACAAGAAGCAGAAGAACATATTCCAAGACCCAATCTTCACAGTGATTCCTCTAGACATGAAGCTTGAAAGTCGCTCCCAATCTCTCTCTCTTTGACTTCCCTTGGAAGTTAAAACAGTTACAAAGTGAAAAATAACAAAAATGAACCAAAGTCCTATTTTCTGAACCTCTAACTTCTATTTATAATGTTTTTCCTGCTTTTTTCCTTTCCACACATTAATCTTTGAGAATTCTAACATAAAAGGTCTTCTAGAACTTCTATAACTGAATTAGGAACTCAAATTGTCCAAAGTTGAAGTGGTTGAAGTGTCTACGCTTAAGTGTTCTACATGCGAAGATCCTCACGTGTAGCTACTCTCAGTGCTTGAAGTGGCTACGCGCTTACTGCGTAGCTACTCTGAACATTTGAAGTGGCTACGCGCACTGTGCATAAGTGAATTGGCCTTGGGCGTAGCTACTCTGAACACTTAAAGTAGCTACGCGCTAACTGCATAGCTACTTTGAACACTTGAATTTGCTACTCTCTTGTTCTTCATGAATTTTCTTCTTCAAAGTGTTAACTCTATGTACTCAGAGTGATAACGTCCTACACATAACACTTGATTCTTCATCTTTTAAGCTCAATTCCTCTAATTTCTTCACTTCCATCTATATCAGGATATTGGATGCCTAAGGATTGGTATGTGACATCTGGTGTAGCCAATTCTTTAAGAGTTCTTTCGTGTTGATTATTAGCCATAATATCAAAATGCACAGATATACTATCAGAATTATCACAATTAGAATGCTCACAATTAGAGTGCGCACCAATACTATCAAGGGTATCACTACAATGACTATGTACGCTACCTTCCAATTTAAGTCTATTCAACCTATTCCAAGTGCGTTCAACCTCAAGATCAAATGCGAGTAATTGACCAAAATTGGTTCTAGTCTTGCACCAAGAAGTAGATCGGTCGAAGTCAACAGGATCAACAAAGTCAAAGTCAACCTAATTGCGCTTTTTTTAAAAAAATTATTTTATTTTTTTCTATCAAAAATAAAAATTTAAATAAAAATATTAGAAATAAAATAAAAAAAAAAAATTTAGAAAAGTGTTCTAGACGATGAAATTTGTGATTTTGAGTAGCACCACGCGTAAAATGAATAATATAATATCAATGATTTCTGCAACTCACAAAATAATAAAAAATAAATGTAGTGAGATAATAAAACAATATGCTCCTATAGTGTTCTATCACGGTTCCTAGAATTCTAACCTAATAATTTACAACATCCATTCTTACCTTGGGAAGTTTGTAAGCCTAAATATAGAAGGTCACTAGAGCTAAAATCCATTCCATAAAGTCATTCTCAATCAATAGGTAGTCTACTAGATGAAGGAACTTATATAGATAAAAAAAACCCTAGCTGAAGTTTTTG